GGTGATACTGGAGAGATCAAAAATGAAGTCAGGGAACAAATCAACAGGAAGGTAGACTCTTTCTGAAAACTTGAAGTGGTTCTGTAAATTCTAAAAACTTAGGTCTTATTTGAACCGCGGGCAAAATTTGGAGTATATGGTTCCCTGCTGTTTTTTTCGAACTGTTTAAGGTACACGTGTAAAAAGGTCATTCGTTTTTGAGCATAGAATTTTAACTTTGTACAGAACTAAATGTCAAAACCGAAACTTCCTCCATACTTCGCTCTCATTGAGAGAAAGAGGTGCGCGGGAAGTAGCCCAGGTGATAGCTGATGCTAAAGCAGTCACCCGCTGACAGGATTGTCGGTGGATCTCTCTTTCGAAGGTTTCTTGGTTTTTTGCAAGCAAGCTGATGGAGAGCTTGACTTACTGGTACATGCCCGAGTTTTTATTCTAATTCGTTAATTTATGCAAAAAAAAAAAAAAATGGGGCAGTTAAGCATGGAATGCTAAAGCACATCAGTAAAATTGAGCATCCACCGATTTCATGGGCGGTTTCGTTATCGTTAGAATCTGTATTTTTCCCTTATTTGGTGTTTTATGAAAGTGATGTTTTGGCTGTTTTACTGCTAAGCCATCGCAAAAGCCTTCAAGCAGCCTTAACGTATCAGTTACATTATTTTCATTATTAATATGCAGTCGTTTTGATTCATTTTTTAGGTAGTAGAATGGCGGGAAGAAAATAAAGCGGATGTTGTGCCAGGTGTCCTGTTTATCGATGAGGCGCACATGTTGGATTTGGAGTGCTTCTCGTTTTTGAATCGAGCGGTTGAGGCTGATCTTTCGCCAGTACTTGTTATAGCCACCAATAAGGGGCACGAGTTTATTCGTGGAACACAGATCAAAAGCCCTCATGGAATTCCGATTGATCTCCTGGACCGGTATGGTTTTAAAAACGCTTTCGTGGGGATAAAATATTTCTATAGCATTTTTTTCATTAGAACGAGAGAAGTTTTACGTACAACCTAGCGTTAAAAGTTGATTTCTGGTGATGATAACCCTGGTAAATGCTGATGGGGGTAACACTAGCCGGACAATGTTTTCTTTATTTTCCTTCAGAACTGAATTGTGGTCCACCTTATGGCATATTTTTACTTGAGGTCGTTGATAATTCGAACACAAACATATTCGAGTAAAGATATCGAAGATATTCTACGGATTCGAGCACAAGAAGAGTCTGTAGAGATGGAAGAAGATTCGTTTGGTATACTAACAATTCTAGCTGATAAAACATCCTTGCGCTACGCGATGCAACTCATCTCTACAGGCAATGTTTTGCGAGAGCGAAGGCGCGGTGAAAAGGTATTTTTTTTAAATGCTACTTCATCTTAGCACGTAAACTTGATGCAAAAATGAAATTGGAACCACCTTCACCTTGTTTCGAAGCATTTCTGAATTGTGAGAGCCGTTGATAGCCTTGATAGAGGATGGCTGTGACCTTTCGAGAAGATGAACTGTAAAAATCTTTTAATTTCTGGTTTTACATTGATCAACTGTAGTTTCATCATAATGCATTTTCACATCACCAAAAAAACTGGCAACCTTTCCATGACTATTGTGATTTCTTGTCGTGAACGGAGTCGTTTCTCCGAAAACTGTTCTCGACCGGGAGGGAATCGAACCACTCCTCTTCACGCCCGAACGGAATGTGTTACCACTACACTACCAGTCCCTGTGCTCTAGATCCTAGCAGCATATCTACTGTGTATCTGCCTTTCAAGGCAAAATACATATTTTTTTTTCTTTTTCTTTGTGGCGGCTTCTTAACCGGCTTTTCGTGGCTCTTTCGCGTCATCTCTACTCCACCACATTATGTTCAGCTTGCTGCTGTTGATTCAAGCGTTCTTCCGCTAACCTTTTTGGGGGTTTTTTTTGGGAAAGAATACTAAGGGTATTGTGTTCCATCCGTTGCTTATTGGTGAAATGCATTATATACATTGTGTTGTTGCTGTGGTTAATGGGTTGTAAGAAGGCATAATAACAAGGCAAAAAGTGGTGCCATAAAACGTCTGGTTTAGATGGATGTCCATATTTTTCCATTTTACTTGCCCTACCATGGAGCTTGCATAAGATTGGTGTTTTCTGAAGGAAATCTTATTCCAGGTATCACCAGCAGATCTCAAGCGAGCGTATTCGTTATTCATGGATCAGAAAAGAAGCGAAAAATTTTTGAACGATTATCAAAAGCATTTCATTAATGATTAAGTGCTGTGTTTTGGTCTGATTCGTCTCTCTCCCTCCTCCCGTCCCCACGCCTCCCCCGCCTTATTACTCCCAAAATTGACGATTTCTAGATGCAGCTCATGCAGTTTCGTATTAGGCATAAGGTTTTGTTCTTCCTGGCTATTTAACTTGCTTGTTCACGAGCATTATTCGTAGCGTGTCCACTCATTTGGCAACATTAGGTTTAGTGCGGATGTGTGATTATCGAAAAAAGAAAAGAAATGTCAGCGGATAACTCTTTTTGAGGTTTTTTTTTAAAGAATGTCCTAAGGCTAGAAATTTTTTGAAGATTATGAATCAAGAAATATTACCGTCTCCGGCGTTCTACATACCTATTATTTTCGTTCTCAGTTTTGCTGGTTTAGATTGGGTCCTGCATGGGTCACACATATATTTAAGGTCTCATTTCATTGTTGTTTGTTTCAAAAAAAAAATTTTTATTTTAGTAGTTTATTATTTTTCTTCAAATTTTCTTCCTGGCTTTGTTTCGTTTCTCGTTGTCAAATAACAGAGCATAAGCAACGATAAA